TCAAAATCTGACCTTAAAAAGTAAGTAATGAAATCATAATAAAATATTCCTTCTTTCTAAATTTTTATTATTGCAACAGTTTTTCAGATAACAATAATGGAAATATTTGTATTGCCTGTGCCCAAAAAAATTCTGTGAATACCTTTTACTTTCCTTTTAAAACTATATGTAAAATCGTTATATTTGTAATTATAAAATATATGAATAAAAACAGATGTTTCTTATTTAAACCAACAAATTATTTAATGAAACCCGGAGAATAAATTATTTCACATATTACTAAGGACCTATAAAAGAATATATTATGACTCATCGATTACATTATGCATTATATGGATTGTATAGGGGAATATATTACTTTCCTAGGACATGCAGCGTGTTACGGATAATGCATACTGTAATCAATAAATCATAGTGGCTGTGCATTACCCGTTCGTTTACCGTTGATTACTTTTTCCCACTGGGTTGTTGTTATTACTCAGTTGCTTGCCTTATGCTTTTCGAGAGCGAAAGCACAACGATCAGAACGAAGAAGAAGCAACAACATGTTTTTCTAACAAGTGTGTTATACGCATGTTTTTAATTTTCACAGGAACATTTTTTGATTTGAGCACAATCATTTTACCGTTATTTTAAGTTTTCTTTAGTTTTGAATAATTAATGTGATTCATCAAAAGAGTTTTAGCACTACAATTTTTTAGTAACAAAAATATTTTGTAATGAGTTTGTTTGGTAAAATAAAATAAATAAATTTTGAACTATAAATCTTTTAAACTATAAAACTTTTAAAACATTTATTTTCTTTTTATTAAAATGTAGGTATGCTCTTTTCCCATCCTTGTATAGAATCATTTGCAATACTACAAACAATATCACACATACAACCCTAATGTTCAATGAGTGTACTAGTTTCCCAACACAACAAGAATTGAGTATTATTTGTCAATTGACAAATCTTACACGAACACTTGTGAGTGTTATATTCATTTTACTCTCTCATACTCTAGTAGTGATCATAAAATCAAACAATTGATGTTGTTAGGGTGCGAAAAAATACTCGAGTATAAAAAAAAAATACTTGCACTCAAAAGGCTTGACACCCTAAACACTTGTGCTCATCTAAGTGGCTGACCATTCTATCACTACCCATTATGGGTGTAACTCAATCCTAGAAACAGTAACTAAATCTCACAAATGTCGGTTATCCTGAAAAGGGTAACATGCTCTATTTTATTTATCCACTATTCTATTTAATTTATCGATTATACATTTACTTACAAAAATACATTCATATTTTAACCATTATACATACCTGTAAAAGAGAAGAAAAATTATCACTTAGTAAAATTATTAAAAAAAATTATAGGAATAAAATTAAATACATATGAATTATAATTTCAATTTGATAAAAAATCTCTGGAATTTAAGCATAATTTTAAGTCAAACCTTCACATTGACCAACTTGGTGATTTATTTTCGGTATGACATAGGACTATTGAGTTTTGATTTTCACATCTTAATTATAAACCAATCAAAGCTCACATGATTTTCACATCATAACTATAAACCAATTATGCATTATTGGTTACGATTTTGAAAGCAGATCTGGGACGTCATTGACTGAGTCCAACATCATTTGCGCAACAATGATGTTGGACATCTAAAAGGTCCGCACAAGTAAGAGAGCCCTCTATCTGCGGACTTGATCTACTAACCAAAACTAGACAAAGTTGGATGTAATTGGTATTCCGTTCGTTCGTTTCATAATTAATTAATCCTTAGAGAAATATTTAAAAAATCCACTTCCACGACTTTGTTCAATTTCTTAAGGTTTAAAAAATATTTTTTAAGAACACACTACTTTGGTTGATGATCAATACACATTTGTTTAAAAATCCACCCCTTTTGGTGATGTTTAAAAAATTCTTGTTAAAAATGTAGGCCATTGGTTGATGCTTAAAATTGTTTTTTTTCCTTTCACGTCTGAGTTTGATCTTCGTTTTTTTAATCCTCGCAAAAAAAATATTAAAAATTATCAACGTCTTTGACCGATACCTAAAAAATATTTCCACATCTTTAGTTTATGATCTTATATGTAGTTACCCTGCTTGAAAATTCGGCAAGGACCTTAACATTTTCGAAGAATGTTGTCCACTTCGAGAAAGGAAATCTGTCTTCGAAAACCCCTGCATGACAGGGGAGATTCGAAACAAAGGAAAATAGGTCCGAAGACTTTACAATAGAGCTCGCCGCAAGTAATCTGCAGTATACTGGGCAAGTTCCACTCAAAGAGGGAAGAAGGAATAAAATGTCAAGAACCGCTAACGCTACTCCTGGAAAATTTAATGGGAACAGGAAGATATAGTAAATGACGTCTAAAAAATAATGAAGTTTCTATCTCAAACACACACACTCAAACCAAAACCATGATGGAAGAAACAATAGGACTCCTTATGAACATCAAATGAAATAACGGTTCTAAGGGAGGAAAGATACGAGGAACCTAAGATTGATAGAGAAATGATCCGTTTATTTTGAAAGTAGTTTAAGTCCATTTTAAGTGTTGATACAAATATTGGTTATCCAGAAAAGTATACAAAACATATGTCATTATAAGAGCACAAAACCACAAATAAAATTAATACCACTTGACAATATTTTTGGAACTAATCAAGCTACTAACTAACTTTACTAATCTCAATAAAGGAAAAATGGACTTTAACTACTTTCAACATAAACGACTGAAATGGTGCCTGATGTATTAAAGATCTTCGCACCAATAAAAACTATGGAACGGCCAGTCGACACCATGATTAAGAGCAACATACCCAACGATACACTAAAGTGTAAACAACACTCGTACGTAAAGGGAAGATCAGTGGAAACCGCGCTGCACGAGGTGGAATACTACATTAAAGAAAATGTTTTCTTTAGCTGTATGCATTGATATCGATGGAGCTTTCAATACTTTTCGAATTTACCGGACAATCATAGACTGGGTGAGCCACATGTTAAGGAATAGATTGAGCAACTTTAGCATACAAGACATAAATATCAGGGACAACGTACGACAAGGGATACCACAGGGGGGGATTTTATCACCACTGCTGGGGGATTAAGCGGTATGTTATGCATACGACCTTATAATACCTTTGAGGAGAAAGAATCCTAACTTGTTATGTAGGAACCCTGAAACGTTATTAAAGATCGCCTATAGTTGAGGACGAGGGGTCTTAACTCAAATCCGACCAAAACGGAAGTATGTCTTTTCACTAGAAAGACACAAATATGACAGTATGAAGAAACAATCTTTCAAAACAAAGTCATAACAAATCAAATAATGTTAAATATCTGGGGGTCATCATAGACAGAATACTTAAATTGACAGCACCGGGTAGAAAAAGCCCACAAATGCTGGTCTTTCTACAAAAGAGCTGTAGGCTCCAAATGGGGTTTTAATCCAAAGACGACACATTGAATCTATAAGAGCTTTATTAGACCAATCATAACATACAGCAATGGAAAAAATTTAATGTGAAATCATTACAAAAAATCCAGAGAACATGCTGCCTCTGTATATAGACCGCACCGAAATATAGTACAGGCGACAATCGGATCCTCAATTAGTAGTTTTGAGTCGGACCGAGAGTAGTCACAACATGTGAAACTATGATACCAGACAGGGATACATGGGATAGCGAAACACTAGCAAACATTCCCCATGGTAACTGTTGTTACACAGATGAACATACCGTAAACAAGTCATAAAAATAATAACCTCTAAAACAGTTAAATCCAAAGTTGTACAAAAAGATGTATAAAAACCAAAAAATAATTTCTCGCGGCATACACTCATACGAATTACATGGGTACCGAGTCACATAGGAATAATAGGAAACTAGATAGCAAGTATACACCCCAGAAGTGCGACTGACAGGCCTTCTCATAGATGTAAATACTGCCAAAACTTTTAGTACAACGCGTCTAGAACCAAGTTCATGGGCAAAGGAAACCCACAAAGGGACCAACTTAATGTAATCTTGTCCAATCTAATCTTAATCCAATATTGTGCCTGCAGGCCCACTTACACAAGATTGGATGCGAGGGAAGCAACTGGTGTGGAGAGAGAGAGAGAGAGAGTGGAGAAGACAGTGATAAATTGCCACTGCCCAGCCTTTTCAAGCTTCCGAACCCAATTCCTCTGAAATTACACCTTTCGTGAAATTACCGACCTAAAGGGAGTTAGTGGAAAAAAAACTGAAGGACTTCACAAACAAAACAAAATTCCTGGATGTTGTGGACAATCAAATAAAAAGATGATTTCTTCTAACTTTTTAACTGTATTCCTTCGCTAGAGCGCACAACATGTCACTTACAGGTTAAGTGTATGTCCTAATATTGGACATGTGGTGTTGTAAATCACTCCACTTTTCAACCTAACCTAACATAGTGTTATACAAATTCTGATATCGTCCTTCGATATATTGTTTCCCTGAGAAAGAAAACATTATTTGTTTGTGATTTAATATTTTTATGGGAATTATAGAGTTATTTTATGATTCGTGACATTTCGAAACGACAGACGTACAATATATATTCCGCATATATCTATTTAAATTATATTGCCTTTAACTCCTATTGTCTGCACTTGATCCCTATCCAAGCTCACATTAATTATTAAAAGAAGTAAATTCTGGGAAACAAATGAAGTGTTGTGAGTCATTGGCAATCGTTTTCAAAAAAAAAAAAAAAAGTACCAACAAATAATCCCATGTTCCCCTTTTCTTCATTTTTCTATTGTATCACTATTTTCGTTCTGATTCAATCAATATTTTCACAATACCATAAAAATATTTTGATGCCAATTAAAAGTTAATAAATTTTCATCATAACAATTTTTTTTTTTTTGGAATTCAAAGTTTTGAAATATGTAGCAGAAGAATAAACTTCGAGAGAATAGAATAAAGTTCAAATGACAACCACCATGACGAAAAACTTACTTTGTCTGTTCGTTCATAATTTAGCGGGTATTTGGATGAGGCAACTTTGTGCACCATGGGAACCGGAGGATATTCAAACGCCGCCTGCATTAGATGAGCCGGTGCGCTGAAGGGAATATTTAACGAAGATGTCGAAACAGATCGCTGTGGAGCGGGCGGACTACTTTGCCGGTTAATGTTGGCAAAGGGTGATAGAGGCGTTAAACGCCTCATTGTGGTGTGTGGTGAGGGGGAGGAGTTGGTGTAATTGTTATACATATTGGTGGTGATGCTACGATGGCTGGTGACACAGACTGGATATATAATTTTAAACAAACATAGTACTCCCTTTTGTGTTGTTGTTGTTTTTTTTTTCACGGTATTCTATTGAGGAGTTGCATTTCACTTCTTTGTTTTTTTTTATTATTTTAGTTATATTAAAATTGAATTATTTTTTGTTGTTTTATTTTCCACAGACTTTCATTTCGTTTGCATAAATTTGCCATAATTAATTTCTTTTTTTTTTTGCTATTTACATTTTTCACAGGTTAACGGTACGCTCGTTTTATTTTATTTTCTATTTTCCATTTGTTTTACAACGTTTTTGCGTTGTAAGCGTGTGTGTGTGTGTTTTCCATTTGTGTAGCAGACTTAAAGCCTAAAGAAGACGTCATAGAGAATATAATTGTAAAATTGTGGGAGGGAGGTGCCAGATGAGGCGGCGTTGTTACTGTTGTTGCCTCCATTTGTTAGATAGTGTCTGCTGTCGAATTTTGTTTGTCGCGGCTTTGGTTGATGACATTGCACCGGAAATGATTTAATATAACGAAACCTGTACACACGACTAAGTTTTGTTTTGTGTGCTTAGTTTTTTTTTCAATTTTTGCCGAGAATAACGCAAATTGTAGATGAATAACAATAAAGAGAACAAAAAAAAAACAAACAGAATAACAGTCGCAATTCTTAGTCAAAGTCAAAATTAAATTAGTTAAAATAGGGGGCGTTCGAATGGAATGATAACAATAAACAACAAATATGGAATACAATGACGAAGAGTTAAGAGAGAAGAGAGGGCAAAGAAACTGAGATTCTATAAAATACGTCTCCTATATATCATAGTGACTTAATACAATACAACTTTTTATCATCCCGAATCAGTTCCCTTCAGATTGAAATATTTGGATGTTTGGTACTACAAATGTTTTTACAAATGTCTGAAATATGGAAGTTTGGGTTCTCATAGAGAATGAAATTTTCCTACAAAATTCACATATGTATTTTCCAAATTATTTCGATATAAATGCTAAATACAATATGTTAATCAAATTTTGATACGAACAACAAGCCCGACCGAACGACGCAGAACATGTAATTAAATAAGAAGAAAACATAAAATAAAAATTTAAAAATTAGAACAACAAATTAGTGTCTGTGCCTTTGACAAGAAACCAGTATTAAAAGGTTTATGAATTGCATTCATAAAATGTAGAAATCCCGGCATTAACAACAGTTTCTGGACACTATTCATATAATATACCAGTTGTTTTTTGCTATGAATTGCCAATATTGGTTTACTTTTTAGGCTAGCTATCAAATTTCTGTATATTTGGGAGTTTGGGTAATCAAATAGACTGTAATTAAAAATTTTGGATTATTATTGGGTAGAAAATCTCTAAAAAAGAAATTTCATTATTGGCTTAAGTTTCGGGATAGCTCTCATATTTAGATTTCACGAAAGGTGGGATCGGATCACGATTGGGATCGGAAGCTTCAAAAGGCTTTTTTCTCCGCAAGCTCTACACCAGTAGCATCTCTCGCATCCCATCTTATGTAAGTGGGCCTGCAGGCTGTTATGTCCTGTAAGAATACCGGCCAGTCTGCTGATTTCCTTCTTGTCTAGCATTAACATTGTCTTTGTCTTATCCCCATTTAGGTTTCCCCATAGAAGTTTTGTGGTTTTACCAGTTCACTCGCTATTCCACAGAATTCTGTGGGTTTCCCTTGCCATGACCTCTCGTTTCCTACTCATCCTATGAGACTCGGTACCCATATGATTCGTACGAGACCGTGTCGTGAGAAATTATATATGGTTTCTAATTCAGTTGTTAAGTCTTGTTTACTATCTCTTTTTATATTTATTGTATCCTGACTAGATTTAAACCAGTTCAGACAATCCGTTATAGCTTGAACCTCCATATATAGGATAGAAAAATCCCATTCCCGATTTTACTGCTAGCTGGGAACCATCTGTGTAAAAGAAGTTACCAAAGGTATGTGCCGCTTTCCCATGAGTCTCTGTCTGGTATCATCGTTTTACATGATGTTACTATTCCTATATCAGGTATTCGGTCCGACACAAAACTACTGATCGCGAATCTGATTGTAGCCTGTATTATATTTTTGTGCGGCCTATTGTGTCCGTTTTCGATTTACTCGTTTATAGATTGAAATCATAAAGCTGCGACGGCCGCTTTATATTTTATATGGATGTCAATTGAATGTATGAATAATAAAGTTTCCAAAGCGCATGTTGGTGTTGTCTGCATTACCTAGGCAGCATGTTCTATGGACTTTCTGTAACGATTTATCATTACATTTTTGGCCATTGCTGATTACCGAAGCGTATGTTAGAATTGGTCTGCTGACACTGTTTCATCCTTCCAACATAACAAGTTAGGATTATTTCCCCTCAGAAGTATTATAACGTCGTCTGCACAACAGACGATTTCAAATCCCTCCTCAGTTAAGGTCCTTAGGAGTGCCGATATAATCCCTCGCTGCGGTGTCTTTTGCCCTACCTTTTTCCCTGTTACTTATGCCTTGTAGGCTACAGTTTATCCATCTATTCCTTAGCATGTGACTGACCCACGCTATTCGGTGGCAAGTGAGCTTTCATGATTTTTATAAAAAAAATTAAAAACTATAAACACTACTCCTTCTAAACTAGAAGAACCTTTGCTCTTTGCATGATAACAGGTGACGAATTTCAATTTTTTTTAATCTGTCAATGCCAAGAAAGGTCAACCAACCAGCAACGGCTATATACCGCCTTTTAGTGTTTGTCCAGTGGCAAATTTGTTTTTATGAAAATCTCCAAAAACAACAACTACAACAGAATGTGTTTGGCAGTTATAAAAATAAAGCAATTAAAATTATATTTATCTTGGACTCTGTTGGTTGGCGATTAAAAAAAGTAGAAAGCGACCTTTGTCGGTTAAATAATTTCAATTCGTTTTCAAATTTCCTCCTTTCCTATATTTTTTTATTTTTATATTGTGGGTAATTGAATGGGGGTGGTGAGATGGAAACAACAATAAAATTTGCATATTCTATTTATTGACAAAAAACACAAACACACAAAATATTAAATGGTCAAATAAAGGTATTTGCGAAAAAATAACAACTGACAAACAAATAAATTCCCCAAAACGGAATGACGTTACTTGAAGAACGTAATCAATAGCGGCTGACTACTGCTGAAACTACCTTCCCAAAAAATTGGCCTGATAAGACACGAGCTGTTTGTTGTTACTTTTTCTTTCGAAGAGCGCTATTCATACAATTTTATTCATAGTTTTCGATATTGGCTTCATTCGTATCAAGACTTTTTGGGGAAATTAACTGAAAAAATAAAATTGCAAACATTTGCGATAAGATAGTAAAAAATATCGCTCTCTTTCGATTCTCTGCCACTCTCGATTACAGTAGTGCAAATATTTTAAAAACAAAATGTTTCTCTTAAACGGCGAAAAAAATTATTTTGCTTTTGAAAAATTCTCATGCAGCGTTTAGCTGCCAAACATGGTTTCGAGACGTTACCGCTTATTTTGCTCAGCAATCTTCTCCATAGTAAAAAACTAAGTGTGTAGAATTTGTTTTTCTATTTTTTCTATTTTTTGTTCCTGTTCGTTCTAATAAGAGGTGTCATTATCACGGCGCAACAACACACAACACTTGATGACTTTATAGTTTTAGTTTTTCGTTTTTATTTTTTTACATTTCATTTTGTTCGGATGTCTAGCGCTGGACTGGCGGCTTGTACTCTGCTATTTGACATAACCGGCCACTATGTTCGTCTCCCTGTACTATTTCCAGAGAAAGAAAAAAGTAGCTGCAGCAGCAGAACACGGCGATACTGGCATTTTGTTATTTTTAATGAAATTACCTCATTTCACTAAAGTTCGTTCGTTTTTTTGTTTGGGGTTTTGATATGCCGGTTATTTTTACGTTGTTTCATTTTATCGCAATTTATATTCAGAAAAAATAACAATAATAATTTATACACAGAGTGTCATAAATGGGTGTATAGTGGGGAATAGAAAAAAAAGAATTAAAAATAAAAAACAAGTTTAAAATACATTTCTGGATCCCTCTATACACCATGTACCATATATAAAAATGTTTTGTGGTTTCTTACTATAACAACATCCCTATGTATTTTCAGTCCATTGTCCTATTTTATAGTTCCTCATCATATCCACACAAATAACATTTGTATTCCCCCTCTTTTTTTACATCAGTGTCGACATTTTAACTGAAAAAATTATTTAACATTTTCACGTTTTTTCCGCTCTAGAAAAATAGCCATGACAAAGAATAACCAACAACGACAACAACAGCAGTGGCCAACACGACAACAACAATAACATTAAATGTAACAACAAAAAAGTGGACCGACAAAAAATTTAATAAATCCATTATTTTTACATAATGATGAGGTTGGCGGATGATTTGCAACAGCAACAGTGCGACGATAAAAAAAAACTAAAATAATTTTGAGTCGAAAAATATTAAAAAATACAGATATTGAAATATACAATATAGAGAAGCAAAAAACAAATGTAGATAATTGATAAATAGTTGATCGATTTTTTTTAACAAAACAAAAAACTGACTTTTTGGTAAATTAATGAATAATATAATGAATGTTGCACAGCGTTTCGTTTCAAACAAATAGAATAAACACGTTGTCAGGGCCATGAAAGAAAAAAAAAAAGGTTTGCCAAAACCTATTGCTACGATATTTGTTATTTATTCTCTCATTTCAAGAAATTTGAAAATATTCCGATTTCGATTTCTCGAAACCCTTGCATTTTAGGTATATGATGTCTTTGGCAATGTTACTGATATACTTAGCAATATTAGGTTGGTGAATACGAAATCCATTATTTATAT